TGTGTTGGCATGATCTGCGTGTTTTGGCCTCTTTATCATTTCCTACTGATAAATCTTCCCTTTTTTGCAGGTGTACGATATCCAGGGCAACCATCAGGATGAGAGCAAAGTTGTGGTGTCGGTCATCTTTGAGAACAAGAGCGACAGCTTCCTCAAGTCAATGGAGTTCAATGTGCTGGATTCCCTCAACTCCAAACTGCAGCGACCGGACGGAGCCGGACCTCACGATGGCCTCACCGTCCCCTTCCAACTGCCACCAGGTCAGAAGAGCGATACTCCTAAAAAGTGCCATTGACAAGGCAGATTTTACTCATGCATTTGGTCTTTTTCCAGGGGTTTCAAACGAGGCGCGCTTCGTTTTCTCAGTGCAGAGTATCGTCATGCCTCAGAAACTAAAGGGAACCCTCACCTTTATAGTTAAGGTAAGAAACTACACTACAGACATGAAAACATATACATTTCAATATGGTTCTAGTGTGAGTGTTAGTATTGTTCATGTGCGTATTAATTGTTTTCTGGCGTAGTCTGAAGAATCCTCCACTCACGAGAAACTGGACTTCAAACTGCACTTTACATGCACGTCATACCTGATCACCACTCCCTGCTACAGGTGAGGAACACCTTACCTTAAACACAGCACTATAAATACTAGTGCTGTCAAACGATTAAAATATTTGATCGCGATTAATCGCATTAATGTCATAGTTAACTCGCGATTAATCGCAATTAATTGCACATTTTTATCTATTCTAAATGTCTCTTGATTTCTTTTTGTCCCATTATTTTTTCTAATTTTAATGCTCTTATCAACATGAAAAAGTGGATCGGCTTGCTTTGTGCAAATGTTTTTTATTGAAAACAACATTGGCATATACTGTGTTCAATTTCACACTAAAAAATTCTCACTTGGAGCAAATAATCTCTCACACAATGTAACTCTGTCCATCAATAAAAGGGTGAAAGAAATACTGACGAGGTCCTGATATTGACGAGGGGGCGGAGAATTCGCATCAGCTGTGTGTGTGCTTGGCCATCATCAAGTGGTATTTCAGACTGGACGTGCTGCGATGATGATAGCTCAGTTCACAACGACAAAACACACAGATCATTTGGTCTTGTCAATGGGACCATTTGGCTACTTTTTAAAAGTAAACTTTCAATTCAGAATCTTATTGGCATCCATTTCGGTGTCTCGCGCTCGTCATCCACTCAAAACGTAACGTTAACCTATTTGGCCGGCTCGCAACAAGTGTGTTTCCGGTCTAGCTAGATCCGGTGCTTTCAGACAGGACGCGGAATGTGCGGCACTACGCCAGTTTTCAAAACTTTTTGGATGCCAAAACGTTTCTATTGGCCGCGCTGGTAATCGTCACAGCGGCAAAAGTTGAACTATTTAGAATTTTGACCGCGGTGCGCACCGCTGCTCTTGCGCTTTGGTCGACGAAGCAACAAAACGTCCTCGCGCGGCGCAAGCCATTAAAATGAATGGGTTTCATAGCGCAGCGCCGCGCATGCCGCGTCCTGTTGCAAAAGCATGTGGAAAAAAACTACAAAGTTTGCTAGGCCAAAAAGACCGTTAATCGCACGATAAAAAAATTAATCGCGTTAAAATGGGTTTGCGTTAACGCCGTTAATAACGCGTTTAACTGACACCCCTAATAGATACACATATGGAGTGCTCTGTTTATATATAATACAGTCATACACACACACATATATATATTTATAAAATAGAGTAGCTCATGATGCATTTGAGAAACGCAGCCCTGAGTGATTTCATGTAGCTGAACGTTTGTGTCTGTTTGTCAGTGACGCATACGCTAAGCTGCTGGAGTCGGGCGACCTGAAGGGCAGCTCTCTACGGCTAGAGGGGGTCAACATGCCCTTCCACCACCTGCTGGCCAGGATCTGCTTCCACCATCACTTCTCTGGTGCGCTGACTTCACAAAGAAGCCTGTAGTGTGTTTGAAAATCTGAAAACCCTTCAATCTTTAGTGCTCTTATTTCCTGTTTTCACAGTTGTGGAGAGGATTGACTCCTGCGCCTCCATGTACAGCAGGTCCATCCAGGGTCACCACGTCTGTTTGCTGGTCAAAACCGTGAGTGCGCCTCAGATGAATCCAAGGGATACAGATCCCAAGGAATTGAATCGTAATGATTCTGATTCCACCAAACGATTCTTTTAGATCTTTCTTAAAGATCAGCGCCAAATTTGCTGGATGCATCTGCTCCTCTGTTCATGCTAACCTCTCATTTCTCTCTCTCTTCCAGTCCGATCAGACCGTCTCCATCGACGCCAAGTGCGACGAGCCATCGCTGCTGGGGAATGTGCTGGACGAAATTAAGCAGACCTTCTCGAAATGCTGATTGTGACCCTCTCACGGCCCAGTAACCCCCCCCTGAACCCCCACACGCTCAAAATCATATACCCTTGCTCTGAGACTCGTGTCCCTTCTCTGAACCTTTGTATTTATTGGAATCGGTCGTTCTCTGTTCTTCTTTTAAGACCGTCTCTTGCCTTTGTTTCCCCTCCTCGACTGTGTCTGACCTCCGACGTGCATCTGATCTCACGCTTCATCCTGCATCCTTCGTCTCTCCGACGCTCTTTCCATTGTCTTAACGGTCCATGACATTCATCTTGATTGAGAACTGGATTTCTTCATTGTTGATGCTTGAGTTGTGTGCTTTTTTTTTTCTTTTCTTTTTTTTTAAGTGTTTTGCGTTGTGTTGTTTGCCGAGTTTGTTTTCTGTCCTGATCTCCATCAGCGCCTTTCTCTGCATTAAACATCAGCGTGTCTGTTCCCTACCAGGTTCATGTTGCTCTTTTCGAAGGCTAGCAGGACTGGTTTAAGATCCACATCTCCAACTCGAACTGCCTCTGAGCACTAATGTCACTCCAAGCCTCACAAGTGCAGTTGTACGTTTCGTTAGGACTCATAGGTTATAGACCACGATATCATGTGATGGCCCACTACTATTTGAGTCCTAATGTTGACAGGTAAAACTACAATAGCATGTAATTAACAAAACTGCACACTTACAAACCTTTGCTCAGGATAATGGCGGGTCATAAAAGTGGCGAAATTAACAATTTCATGTCTCTCAAATCCGTGTTCTGGTTAATGGTCTCCATCAGGATGAAATCTCCAAGTTGCTTGTTTACCATTTTGATTCGTGCTTCAGTTTGTGGAAAAAACACACCAAAAATGCTCTTCCTCAATGGAAGTCAATGGTCCGAGAGTACATGCTCGAACAATGGATGTCTATAGAGCAACTATAACTGTACACTTGCCCCATTGACTTCCATTGTAAGAACGTGTGCGTGTACTTTGTTTTGTTACGAGCTGAAGTACGCTTTGAAATTATTACTGATAGCGCTAAACTTTAAAGGTTTTAACCTCAAACATGCCATTTTTAACACATTGACAGTGTCTCATGTTTCTGGACAGTATTATATCAAAATCATCCCTTGTTTCTAAAACTTATGAATATAAGGGAGCCTGAACTTAAATGTGCACTTCCTGTCTATCACATCCATCAAATGCCTCTGTGGCTTTGACATCATCCGAACTCATGCTTCTACATGTGTTCTTCCGCTCTTAGAACTGCCGTCTTGTACATTTGCAGATTACAATGAATCACTTTTTTTTTAATATGCTCTTAAATGCCTTTTTCCCCCCACACTAATGAACTTGTACTGACTAATTCTGGCACATGCTGTAAGTAATTCCTGTGTTTAACTGTCTGATCCAGCACGCTGTAGCGCTCGGTTGCAAGGACGCAAGTAGTGGTAATCTGCTCACGAGAGGTTATCCTGAGGGTACCTTGCAAGTGTTTTCCAATGTAAGAGCCAGTTCATCAACAAGAAGTGACTTGAATAGAACGTTTCTGGAAAAACAACCGCTCTAGATGTTTCCAGGCCATGTAAAGACTGAATCGTCTGCCGTGGATGAAAGCGACTTAACACATTAAGTCACATTGAAATGTATAACTTGCATGGGTAGGAATGTAAACTTTTGCCTACTTTTCTGGTTTTGACTAATACATGAACACTTGCATAGAAAAATCCCCCTATCATTCCTTGATTGTCGCAATTATTTTTTAGTTTTTTTTTTTTACGTAAAAGTTGGCTTCACCATATTACACCTTTTGATGGTAAAATGTATTTTTATTTGTTATGAGTACATAAACTTCAAAAGATGTCTTGGAATGTTTTTAAATTGCATTTTGCATTAAATTATATATATATATATATATAATTATATTATATATCTCAATAGAGGGGGTTTGGGGGGGGATTTAGGGGGTCCATATAGATACTTAGCTGTTAAATGTGATTCAAGTGAAGTGGCCCAGCTAATCTAATAAGGTTTTCCCTCTGGCAAGTTATAGTGCAGATATGGCTGGATTTGGCTTTTCATTCAATATACTCTCATTGCTCTTCGTTTGAAGGTACTGTCCAACTCCTTCATATGTATTTTCCGACTGTATGATGTAATATAATGTTTTAAGATGAATAAATGAGCTAAAAGAATGACCAAAAATGTGCAAGCTACATTCTTGAGATGTCCACCTGAGAGTTTGAGAAGAATGCTTTAGTTTAATGTGTGTACCAATAAATTCATACATGTAGACCAAATGTTTGCCTCTGTGTGTGAACAATTTTTATTTTATTAAGTTGTAATATTTAGCATCTTAACAACGTTAGAATACTTATGCATGTAAACATAAACACTAAGAGCAAATTAGTTTGAAGTGTCGTCTTGGGGCAGATAGATAGATACGTGTTTCTTTTTTTGCTATATTTCTAAAAAGGCTGGCTAATGGACGTTACATTGTGACAAATTACCTTGTATGGTGTGGGGATTAAAAAAAGTGTTTTGCCATATACTATTGATAATGTAGTATTATAAGCGTTGTTAAAATATATTTCCTTCCGTTGTGTTTTACTCGTACTCAGCATGCCCTCCATTGGCTGCAGGAGGATATTAGGAGGGACGTGGTCTGCTGGTGGCACCGTGTCTCGCGTGACGCTGCTGGGGGAGGGAGCGAGACTCCTCGAACAAGCTGCCCCGCATAGCATATTTGTTTACTAGCGGAACGCTTGATTAGTTTAACACGTTTAATATCGACGGCAGGTGCTTAACGTGGGACTTCAAATGCCCGACGCGAACAGCAAATCCGCTGGGCCTGGTACTCGCTAAGCGAAAATTGTCATCGAGTGATTTATCTCGCGTTTGTTCGTTCGACTTCAGCGTGTACTGCCACTGACCTAGCGGCGCGTTTGTGAAACGGACGAATCAAACTTGTTTGCGGGGTTGTTTTGGATGCCTGGTCGTTTGTTTTTGGAATATGGCTCAGCATAGACACCACCATGTTGCGAGTTCCCAAAAGGCTTTAATGCTGGAGCTAAAAAGTCTTCAGGACGAGCCGGTTGAAGGCTTTAAAATAACTTTAGTCGATGAGTCGGACTTGTACAACTGGGAAGTCGCGATTTTTGGACCCCCCAACACGCACTATGAGGGGGGGTATTTTAAGGTGAGTGACGGCTGACTGTGTCTTATATTTTGTAAATTGATGAGTTTTATACATAGAGTATTTTGTTTTTCATGATGTATAAATGTCATGTTTGAGGGTGAGTGACTCTTTGTTTTATTACCATTGTATATATGACATCTGATGTAAACATTGTGGGTGTTTCTTTGCCCCATTCTTTTTTTTTTTAAAGAAGTGAGTGACGTTCTGTTGTTCCAAACCTGTTTGACTTTCTTTCTTCCATGAAACGCTAAATTAAATATATGACGGAAATATGTGACTGAGGCTGTCATTGTTATTCTGCCTATGTATCCTTTTGTGTTCCGCTGAAGAAAGAACGATTTTGAACGACATGTGGGTGATAATAGAATTTTCATTTTCCGCTGTACTGTCACTTTAAAACAGCGGTTCGGCGTTCTACTTTTCTAAACACCAGCGTTCCATTCGTCATTTTGTTCCTATAGTGTTCCGTTTTACACACAGCTCTCTGGAACATTGACTGAACGTTGTGAAATTCTTTCAATGTGATTTACTTGGTTAAAGTTCAAAATATAGGCTTATTTCAAAGATAATAAACCACAACGTTTCCTCAAGATGGACATTGACTATCTTTTTTCCAGAGCCAACCTATCACCCCAAATGACACAATCTATTGCTTCATTTTGGAGCTGTATCACTTAGTGTTGTTCTACATGTTGAACATTTTCTGTCAACAGAAAAACATCAGTCATATTTATTTCATCCTCTGTCAATAGCTTTCCTGACACATGTGAGTTCATAAAGGTAGTCAAATTATTTAAGAAAATAATCCAATGCATTAACCTGAAATACTGTAACATATCAGATAGATAGAGGCTACTCTGTAATGTAACCTATGCTAAATACCTTCTGCTGTGTCCAAGCAAAGTCACTCTGGCAGACTACAACAATGGTGGAGTTATATTTAGCCCGGCTTCATAGCTATGCCTGTGTCGTTGGCTTGCATGCTGGCCAACCATCCTCCACCACACACACACATGCCTCCACATGCCATCAGCAAGTGGCCACCGACCGGCTGGGCACATTTGTTTCTGGTTCAAACCAGGTTGTAGCCAATGTATTATGCCAGTTTAGTCTCCTTTTCATGTTATCTAAACTTTAGAGACGATTCATAGCTGTGAACATTCAGTTCAGTCAAAGTCTTTGGTTCAGTCCTGTTGTTGTCCTGCATTGATGTGGAAAACGGTGTGTGTTTGTTGTCGTGGAGGAAGGAAGCAGGTCAGCCCTGGGACCCTCTCAGAGTCTCTTCCAACAGGAAGAGATGAGTAACCATGACTTCCTCCACACTACTACCCCATCAGACACAGACAGGTTTCCCTTCTGCATTTGTTTTTCTTTGTTGAAATTGACCTTTATTCTGTTTTTTTGACATTATGATTGTTCACAACAGGGCCATAATGTGAGAATTATCGGCTTGTTACAGAAGTTCAAGAGAAATGCAAAAATTTACCTGTCACTCTGTTGTTCAATCTATTTATTTGTCTGTCTCTGTTGCTCTATGTATCTGTCTATCTTGCCTCTATCTATCTGTGGTTTTGTCTGTAATCTGTAAATCTATATCTCTCTGTTAATTTATCTGTCTGTCGTTCTATCTATTTATCTCTGTCTATCTATCTGTCGCTCTGTCTGTCTATTTATCTTTGTCTGTCGTTCTATCTATTTATCTATCTGTCTATCTATCTGTGGTTCTGTCTGTAATCTGTAAATCTATATCTGTCTGTTAATTTATCTGTCTGTCGTTCTATCTATATATCTATCTGTCGCTTTATCTGTTTGTCTGTCTGTCTATTTATCTTTGTCATTCTATCTATTTATCTATCTGTCGCTCTATCTATCTGTTGTGTGTCTGTCTATCTATCTGCCTGTCCATCTATCTGTCTGTCTATCTATCTACCTGTTGTTCTATTTATTTTTGTGTCATTCTATACTTCTATTTATCTTTCTGTCTGTTGTTCTATCTATTTATCATGTCTGTCTGTCTAAGCGACAACAGACACAAATGTCAAATAAATAGTTGTTTAAAACTAATTTTCAGTCAAGTGTATTTCATTATTTTAACAAACTTGACGTATTACCATAGAATTTACCGTCACGGGTGTGTATTTTGTAGTCAATTTACAGCGGCTACGAACACTGCTCATCCATTCAGAATTGAATCAGAACAATCTGTTAATAAGATTAGGCTATATAAAACCTTTTTTGAGTTTCTGACAAAAATGTAATGTTAATCGGAAGATAAATCGTTCCTGTAATATAAAATGACTCCTATTGTGTTCATCAGATTTTGGTCATGACGACGTCACTCTGTATCTGTCTTCAATATTCCAGCTAAGAGAGATTTGGCACAGTCATTAAGTTCTCATGAGTGGGATCCCTTTAAGCAGGCTTCAAGTTCTTACACGTGGCGCTTAGCTGACAGGTAGCAGGGCTGGCTCCTGAGCTCCAGTGAAGCATGCACACGCCCAGGCCCTTTGGCAGGTGATGTGAGCTGGGCTTGACTCGAGTCATGTTACCCGCTCCCCGAGCCAGCCTGACGGAGTGTCACAGAAATGAGAGACGGGAGGCTCTAACTGAGCCTGTTCTGGCTTCATTTTGTGCCTGGAAGGTGTTTGGAGTGAGTCAGCCCATAATAACTCAGTTTAACTCTTTCAAGATGTGTGCTGAATGGTCAGATCAGATTTGACTTCGTTTTACTCATGCTTGTCTCAATAGTGAATGGAGGTTTTTGTACACTTCATATAATGTGTTATAGGGTCATTCCATGTCAAATCAACCAAATTTCGGAAACTTCCCCGGCTCAAATTTTAGGTTTTGTTAATATTTTAGAAAGACACACATAAATATTAAATGTAATTGATGTATATTTATTGAGTAATGCACTATTTTGTAGAGGGAGGTCAATTTTCACCTGAGATTTGGAGCCAAATTACAGGGGGGTAAAATGACTATAGAAAGATGGAAGCATCTTTATTTTATTTTTTGGTAAGTCTATTAGTCAAATCTGTTGAATTTAGCAATCTTTGTTGCATTATAATCCAACGGTGACAGTTCAAAAATGGGGAAAAAGCACTTTTTTTCTCAAGTTTGCATGCCTGTAACTCAAGAAGTATTAAAGATATCATAATATCCTTTTATTTTCTGGTACTTAATAAACTTTACTTTTGGTGTTTATTTCAAAGGCCCTTGATGGTTCAATCCCACAGATATGGAGATCTTAATGCGGCTCCATGAGTAAATTGTAAAAAAAAAAAATGTAGTGGTCGAAAACCAAATGTGGCTCACTTTTTCATACAGCTGATGCCTTATTCTTTTAAAGAGAAATATCTTAAGAAAAAAAATTGAAACTAGAAATGTATATCAACACAATTGCAAGAACATACCTGTCTGGCTGCCATGAACTTAGCTTTTCCAAAGTGTGCATGCCTGTAACTCAGGAAGTATTCAAGATATCTTAGTATCCTTCTAGATTCGCATTCTTAATTAACTTCTTTTTTTTTTTTTTTTTTTTTTCAAGACCTTATATAGTTCAGTCCCATAAATATGGGGGTCTTAAAGCAGCTCCATGTTCAAATTGTTGAATTTTATCTATTTTCAATGGTCAAGAACCAAATGTAGATAACTTTTTAAACCGCTGATAGTTGTTTAAAGAAGAATGTCTGCAGAACAAATAACACAGAAACGCATTTCTAGTTTCAGTGTTATTTGTTCTTCAGACATTATTCTTTAGAAATGTGTCGGGGTTTTTTTCTATCAACAATTGCATAAACACACCTGTCTGAGTGCCATGAATGTTGTTTTTCCAAAGTTTGCGTGCCTGTGACTCAAAGTATTCAATATATCTTAATATCCTTAGATTCTCATTCTTAATGAACTTTTCTTTTGGAACCTTCACTTTTAAGGCCTGGAAGTTTTATAGTTCTTTTATAGTTCAGTCCCATAGATATGGGGATCTCAATGCAGCTTCATGTTCAATTTGTTGTATTTTACCCATTTAAAAACCAAATGTGGTTCCCTTTGCACACAACTGATACTTATTGCATTTTTAAAGGGGAATGTCTGAAGAATAAATAATGTTGAAACTAGAAATGTATCTCGTTTCCCTCTATCAAAATAATTACATAGAACACCTACCTCTCTGAGGCATAAATACCTCTCAAAAGAGTATTTATAAGAATCTATATTTAAATCAGTTTCAGGGATATTTGGAAGAAGGGATTTGTTCATTTTAACAGCTTCTGAAGAGTTCAAATACTCAGTATCATTAACTACACGTTACACCTAAAAATGAAGATTCCAAAAGAAAAGTTTATTCAGAATTAGAATCTATAAGGATATTAAGATATCTTTAATACGTTTAGTTACAGGCGTATATTTTATTTTCACACATAGATGGTTAGGTGTATTAGTAAATTCTATGGTAACACTTTATTTTGATGGTCCTTTTTGAACATTATGTTGACTAAGTAACTTTGCAACTACATGTCAACTAACTCTCATTAGAGTATTAGTACACTGTCTGCTTAATATCTGCTAACTTTTTATTGTGATGATCGTCAACAGACATTCTACTGATTAGAAGTAACTTTGCAACTACACTCACCTAAAGGATTATTAGGAACACCATACTAATACTGTGTTAGACCCCCTTTCGCCTTCAGAACTACCTTAATTCTACGTGGCATTGATTCAACAAGGTGCTGAAAGCATTCTTTAGAAATGTTGGCCCATATTGATAGGATAGCATAGCATCTTGCAGTTGATGGAGATTTGGAGATCCAGGGCACGAAGCTCCTGTTCCACCATATCCCAAAGATGCTCTATTGGGTTGAGATCTGGTGACTGTGGGGGCCATTTTAGTACAGTGAACTCATTGTCATGTTCAAGAAACCAATTTGAAATGATTCGAGCTTTGTGACATGGTGCATTATCCTGCTGGAAGTAGCAATCAGAGGATGGGTACATGG